TTTCCCACAGCCAAAGTAGTAGTCATATCAGGTTTAAAAAAAATGAATAAAAGAATTAATAATTCACATGCATGCATTACAGACTTTTTTTTTTATTGATAAAATGTCTAAATTTCTAGAGGTAAATAAAGTATGTTGATGTCAGTGATAATTGTAGTATATAGCAGCCAATAAAATCAAAGATGTATAAATGTTCACTTTTGGGCCATTATCCCTTCTACATCCATCACCTTACCCATAACACTTGTAATTGGGTAAGTTGTTTTTATTCGTCTTTCCTTTATTTTCTCTCTCCGTCCTCCTTTCTTCCATCCTTGGTGAACTAATTGAAGGTAGCAGGAGGCCACAGCACGCATTGGTCGGTAACGAGTGCCAAATGCTTGACCGCTGCTAACATCAAGCCCTCTAATTTGCTATCTCAGACGGATGAGGACCATTAGGTATAGGTAAATGCGCTGTCTTCTCCACACACATTACACACACTCCTTCATGTTTTAGATCGTTGTAAACGTAGACTGTCAGATGTTTCTTGTTTGGATGACAGTAGAGAACCTTGATCGAACTGATTGGTTTCTTGCTGGAACGAGCTTTGAATGAGGGCTGCTTCACGCTCTGTGACACAGCGCTCTCTCATTATCGCGTCATACATCTTCAAACCTCTGAACATGCTGAACTTAAAAGAGCAATAACTCTATGTAGTTATAATTGATAGGAGAGACAGAGGCAACCTTTGGCTGCCCCGAAGCTCTTGCATCAAAAGTTTTTGGCTCAATTAAAACCTGAACATACAGTAAAGTCACTTCTTTCACTCACATTATCTTTGTTGAGCTCCTCTGTCTTCCTCTTCTGAGATCAGAGTGCCTTAATTACCCATAACGCTTCATGAGACCCGGGGTTGGTTCATGAGGCAGTGCCATTCCTTCTGTCGGTGTTGTTAGAACAATGGTTTGGCTTTATATTCTCGTCAATTTTCTAAATTTGCTGGAAAATGTACTAATTGGGGCTAATGATGGTCAAATCAAGATTTTAAAAGCCTCCCAAATGATCCAGCCCACATAATGTTAAAAAGATCAGGCTGAAATCCTGTGCGCTGTGCAAATATTTAAGTAACTGTTATTTTGTGGTGTAATCTGTCAAAATTTGGCTGCTCTGCAAAGTTTGCTTCTAATTATACTGTCGCTCTCCTACACATGAACACATGCTTCCCTTCCTCTGCGAGGCCTAAAGCTTTTCCAAAGATGCACCCAATCAACAAAGATGGTGTCGATTCATTTGCCTCTTTGTTTGGTGTAATTAGCTGGTGATGAACAGGCGGCAGAGAAACACATATTTTAGAGATGCCACCACAGAGCTGCAGCTTTAGCTTCCTGTTTAAGAATTAACAGCGACAGTGCTCTGAAAAATATTGGCTGTTTGGAGAATTATTTCCTTTGTGCTTTTTCCTCAGACTGAGATTTGTGGAGGTTATCAAAAATATTTAATATCGAGCAAAGTTAACCTGCAAAAATACAACATTTTCAAATTAGGAGTTTAGTTATTTTAAAAAGAAACAAGCATGTTAATCTTACCTGAGGTAGCCAGCCGGTTATTTTTCCTCTACAATCCTCATACCTGATTTAAAAAGACATCAAGGATTAAATAAAATGAGAAAAACAAAAAAACACTGTTATTAAATGATGAAATAGAAACTATCTCACGAAAGTCATTCCATGTCATTGGAGTATCTCATGTTTATAGCTCTGAATCAGGAAAACCTTTCTTGCATTGTGTTTTAGAAAGACATGAGATAAGGACTGCCTGAAAGACTGTGGTCATTCCCACAGGTTAATCTTTGCAAAAAAAAATTTTTTGGGGATTAATCAGTCTTCTCTGTCTGCGAGGATAAAACAATAAATGTGTTTGCAGCATAATAAAAATAAATCTCACTATAGATCTAGATTAGCATAGTAGTTGAAGTTTGCATTCTAGTTTGTTTTCACCATTTCTCCTGTCTTTCTGCTTAAAAATCTGGTTTACAAAAAATTCCACTGCCTGTGCACTGGTGTGCACACAGCCCTCCGTTATTGTTTCCTTAGTGTAGCGAGTGTAGCATGAGGACCTCGGGACTCACTAGTAGCAAAAGGAGAAGCGGTAGCAGCGAAGATTTGGTAAAACAGAGGTGTGATTGCTTTTAAAGCCAAACACATCAGCTGCAGCGTGGATTTAAACTGAATGACAGTGTTATCATTTTCTGGGTCGATTTATTGTAGAGCAAAATTTATTATCGCGACCAGCCTAGTCTCCTCTTTATTTTCCTCTGATGGTTCTGTTTTTGGCCTATATGAAATAAGAAACAATTAGAATCAGGAAGAGGGTCAAGATGAACCTTTTTTTTCCAATATCTGTATTAAGTTTTCCCATAATTCATAAAATGTGACAGTAAATAAAACCTGAATTTATCTGAAAATCGGAAAGCTTGTTTCTACAGTAAAGTGTTTTTAAAGCTTTATAAAGCCATAAACGCTGCAACAAACTTAAAGATAATGTTTTATTTTATCTAATGAAACTTGTGGTTAATGGTACAGTTCTGTGTCAACCTTTCTGACTGAAGCTGCTAAGAAAGAAGCAGGCAAACAGCCTTTGACACTTCATTTGGAATTTGTTTAGAGGGTAGAGTTTGCTTCGATCTTTAGTCAAATCCCATTTATAAAAGAATTTGTTGTGTACCTATTCGCTTAACCTTATCCCATTTAATTTTGGAATTATGTTGGAAAAAACATTGTATGATTAAAAAACAAAAGGGGGTCTTCTTTTCTCTTTTTTAAAATTTTACTGTGTATTATATGCTCTTCAGTGAGTGTGTTTCAGCTCCCTTTTGATGCTATGGGTACAAGTGGTGCTTTCTCTGTCATTCCAACCTTTTTTCTTTGTCAAAGCTTTAGGCTATAAAACTGTTCTAAACAACATTGGAAATCAAAAAAGCTAGTGCTACAGTGGAATTTAGTAAAACAGTTCTTCCGTGTCAAACTCCTGTGTCAGGAATTGGTGTAAAGAAATATTGAAGCTGAAAGCTTCACTAGGTTTGGATTCCCTAAGTGCAACTTTGGCTTTCATAGAGCTTTTCTGTCATGCACAGGTAAGAGCACAACCATATACTTTTCCTGCGCAAAACCACACAATAGAATCCTTCTTCCCTTTGTCTCTCTATAATCCAAACATGCGCCACATACAGACTCGGTCTGTGCTTGCGTCACAGTGAGAAGAAAGGGTTTTTGCTACATTTTCTTCAGTACTCTGTATCACAAATCAATTTATATGCAGCTATATTTGCTGCCACAGAGAGATACAAATACGTTGCATCCAAAATAAGAAAAAAAAATCACCAACCTGGGTTGGGGAATGTTCCTTTGTGTTTGTTCTTTCGAAAGACTGACTGAAGTTCATGACCGCTCTGCTTCCATAGAGAGTTTCTTTCTTGGACAAAATGAATTCATATGGTGTCTAATAAAGAATGAAAACACAGTTTCAGACATGGTCTTAAATACATAAACAAGAGAAGGGAGTGCATTCTTTTGCAATATGAAGTTAAATGTCAAGTGATTCAAGGCTATGTCCTCTCACCGGAAAATAAAACAGAACTGTAGTGACAAAAAAGTTAAGTAAAACAGCTGTGCGCCTAAAGAAATTAAACTTTATTCATAAAAGCTAACACATGAGTTTAGAAAAAAGGGAAAAAAAACTTTTTTGAAAGAGAGTTGAAACTTATTGCTTGAAATTAAACAAAATGACCTTAGAATGCCACAAGTTTTAACATCTTAGGCTGAGATTGTTGGTAAAAATGGAAGAAGTAAAAACAGGACTGGTGTCAAGCCCCGATCTATCTGTAGGTCGGTGGGTCGAGCATAAATAATTAGTAGACAGCCATGTCTATGTCGACTGATCATACCCTGTGTAAATTCTCTCTCCAGACTTCAAAAGAACTATGTAAACACTAGCAGGACCAACACTTGATGTATGTTGCTTGTTTTATATGTTATTTGGTTGTTTGTTATTAGCATAGCACATATTTAAGCCCCATTGAAGTTGTTTAATTGAAAGTTCTTCGAGACCTAATGGATGACTGCAGACAAATTTGAACAAATTTGATAAACATTGTAAGGAAACGATCAGAATTTCTTTCACTTGAACATGGAGATAAAAAGTCTCCACAAAGAAAAAAAAAAAAAGCTCTCAGTTTCCACTGATAAAAGTGGTTCCACTACCTGTTTTCATTCTCAAATTGCCTACAGAAGCACCATAGAGAGCATGTCTACCTCTGTGGTGTGGAGGCTGAGTACCTTGGACTGTAAGAATGTGAGAAGAATGGTGAGAGCAGCAGAGTGGACCTCTGCCCTCTGGGAAGAAGTTTGCAGCAACTGCTGCAGGGTCCAGCAGGTTCTGCAACAACTTTTTCCCCGCTGCCATCAAAATGTTAAACTGCTAAACTCTAAACTGGACTCTGCATCAAACTTGCAGCATTATTTTGCATTACCAACGTGCTGAACTCTTTTTAAATAGAATGCAAATCAAAAGTTCTTTTGCATTTTGCAAGATATTTATTTTGCAATGCACTGAATCCTTCCTAATGCCTTTTGCACCATTATTTTTAAACTGGTTTCTTATCTCCTATGCTGTTTACATTCTGATCACTGCTTCACTTTATAAATGGAAATGTTAATTTCACTGTTTGACTGTTGTAAGCTGTATGCAATGGAATTTCGTTCTGTGTACAATTTTAAACCTGCCTTTATATCCCCAACAGCCTTAGACATGTTTTTTTTTTCTTTTACTTGACTATGAATGCAATATGTGTGAGACATTTCAGTAGCTAAAAATCAGATCAGATGCTAATGGAACAAACAAAAATTTGAAAGTTAACAAAAATGGGGCCAAATGAGATTTTCTTCTCCCACAGCAGGAGCAGTGAAATAAGTTCTATTATATCTCACTGTGTACATCTGTGTTCTTTTGTTTTGCTCCAGGACTTTCGAGCAGGGCTTGGTATATGTGAAGTAGAGCTTACCGCTGCTAACATTAAAGAAGTAGACCGCCGAGGCTTTGAAGTCAACACGCCTTTCAAAAATTTCTGGTAGGTCTCCTCTACATTTCTGGGTTTTTTTGTGTTTAGCTGCTTTACTTTACCTTAGATAGTCATACGTGTGTGTGTGTGTGTGTGTGTGTGTGTGTGTGTGTGTGTGTGTGTGTGTGTGTGTGTGTGTGTGTGTGTGTGTGTGTGTGTGTGTGTGTGTGTGTATACACGTATTTGACTCTTTTTTTCATTTTTTCTCAATATGACCCAGTAAATTACAGGAACTGCCTGTTTTTGTAGGACATAAGTGAAAAATGCGTGAGTGGTGTTTTTTTCTTCTTTGTGTTGATAGGCAACTTTAAGACCATGAAATCCACTGTCAGATAGAAAGTCATGAAGCTTAAAGTATGAACATAATCGGTGACCTAATGCTTAAGTTTATTTGTAGTAGGAAAGTGATCAAAAATGACATTGGCGCTTCCACCTCAAAATGGCTAAACAAAAACTAAACAGCAAAGCTTTTAGTGTGGCCTAGTTAAAGCTTAAATCCTCCAAGCCATCTGATATGCATCATTACATGAGCTCATTCGTGGTTATTGCACACACTTTGTACTTCTTCTTTCTAAGAGTGGCACAACCAACTATTAGGTTTAGGGGGGATCTTACTAACTTTAACACTTTTTTTTTTGAATAAATTTCTCTCCATTATAAATGCAATCACCAATGTAAAAAAAACAAACAAAAAGGATTTGAATTTTCTGTATCTTTAACTTTAAAAATTCTAAATAAGATAAGTAAATCGGAAGACATGTATCTCATCTACCTTTTTTGATTTTTCTTTTTTTATCCCAAAATGAATATGAAAAATATAAATCTATTATAATAGTTATACAATTTTTAAACTCTTGCTGTGTAAAGAACAGATTTGCAGAACTTTGCCAATATCCTCTTTTCAAATCCAGCCTTGCTACTAGGAAATATGCTCCTGCTTTTTTTTTTTTTTTGTTTCCTCTATGCTTCCATTTGCTCAGCATGTGTTCAGTAGCTTCATTTTTCTGCAGCTTTTCAAAGATAATACTCTTTAACTGAGACAATGCCATTTAGTATTTTTTGTTTTTGGACATTCAAAGCTCCTTTAAACATAGCAGCAGTTATTAAAGTTTGAAAGGGACATGGCCAGGTTGTACATCACTGTGTATACACAACCTGTGAAAAGTCAAGAAAAATACGGGTTTAGTAGAAACCAGGTTAATTTTGGATATAATTATTTGGGAAAGCAGCAGCACTTTTAAAGTAATGCTAAAGATTTTGCAAATAGTCTGAACTAAAATGGTCCAGGTGTGTTTGACTAAATATTATGATCCCAAATGACCAAAAAAACAAAAAACAGAATGAACTAGGTTCAGTGTGAGTGGCCATCTGCTGAGGCCGGCTGGGGTTCAAGGAGACAGAAGCAGAGATACAAAAAGCAGCTGTAAAAGGCGGCCCCTTCCAGGAAACACACAACCAGGCAGACGAGCTCCGAGGCAGCTCCCATGTCAGAGGATGAAGAGAGCACATCCAGTCAGTCATGGTCAGAGAAACAGGACTACACTGGAAAAACAGGCCGATTTCCAACATCTATAAACAGGTGTTGATGGCAGCAGCACAGCTGATGTTTGCCTCCAGGATAGTGCCACAGCCAAACAGAAATAGACGAGGCAAAGCTACTATGAGAAAAAGCACTAACAGATTCTCCAGTGGGAAAATAAAGATAGATTGAAGCAGAATGATGAAAAAGGCGATCGACTGTGAGATATGTGTCGCTAACTCAGCAGATCTTGAATATCCAGTATCCAGTTAAAAACTAACTTCACTGCAGGCAGGGAATTTCCAGTTTACTCTTTCCTGTGGTAAGCAATGCACCTAAAAAGGCTTAGAAGAGCTAAAAGTGTTACTGTCAACACAATTCCAAGGTGAAAATGCAGCATTTTCTGCAGGTCCGCACCAGTTCGAGCACGAGCTGCAGCATTTAATGTCATTTTATAATCCGGAGAATTATTTGCATTGGACATAGCAAACACCAGAAATGCATAGATGCCTTCGCAAACTTTCCTCAAAAAATCCTACGTAAATGCCATTTTAATTAACTAATTAAATATTAACTACTTTGTCAAGTCAAAAACCGATTCAAGATATCTTGAATATAAGTATGGTTAAGCTGATTTTTTGATAATTCAGCTTACCATACTTATATATTTATAAAATGTATAAAACCATTATTGATGTGGTATTTTTTTGTAGAATTAATACTGTCATTCTTCATCACTCTACACATGTCTATGTACTACTTTTGAAACATTATTTGTTTCGATAAAACATTGCAGCTATGACCTTTAGATTTGTTATGATACTGTAGTTGACTTTATTCTCTCCGATATAACTGTGAAGCACCAAGTTAAGTGTGATATATTAGTAAGATTTTATCTTTTCATTCAACATTTAACTATTAGTTTTTAGCTCTTGATAATGCACTGACCTAGTTGTCTGATAAAGTTTAAACGGGTTTCATCATAGCCACAAGCTGATGGCTAGATTATCCTTCTTTTGCAGCGGTACTTTGGCAAGAATTTATGCAAGTTTTCAATTTTCAATCTTATGAGATGTCAGCATTGGATAACTACAGTTCAGGGCCATTACCGTATTTTCACGACTATAAGGCGCACTTAAACGTCTTTTTTTTCCCTCAAAATGTGCGGTGCGCCCTATGGTGCGGTGCGCCCTATGTGTGTTGTAACTGCGACTTTTGAGACCACCTCATTGAGGAGATGATGAAAGAGTGGCTGAATGTAAGGAGACCAGGTGTTTTTTTTCCACCCCTCACCATCGCTGTTAATATGTAACTCCATGCGTGCCCATCTCACAGCTGATGTGAAAAACATGGGGAAACAAATTAACGCTGTGCTCGCTGTTCAACCGCTCGACATCGGTGTGAACCGGACCCAGCAGGTGCAGCAGAAGCAGCGAGTTTACATGCAAAGTCAATGGTTGACGCGCGTATAGGTGCAGCAAAAGGTCCTGCACCGCGTTTTGGTGCAGCACGTCGGGAGCGTTTAAGCATCTGACGCACCGCCAACGCGCTGCTGCTGCTCAAGATGGAAAAATTGAAGTTTTGCTGCTGGACGCGCCGCATCAACCAATCAGAGAAGCTGATCTGGGAGCTGACAGCGAGACACAGCGCTCTGATGATATTAACGCAAATGAAAAGGCTGGATGCGTGGCTGAGACAGGTGTATGTGAGAAGACTAGGTGGTTTTTTCCACGCATCACCATCGCTGCGTGCCCATCTCACAGCCGATGTGAAAAAAAGATGAATCAAATGAACGCTGTGCTCGCCGTTATCCCGGGGGTCTGACAAAGGAACTTCCACCGCTCGACATCGGTGTGAAGCGGCCGTTCACAGTAAGGCTGCGAGCGGCGTGGGAGCGATGGATGACAGACGGAGACCACAGTTTCAGGATAAATGGAAGGCAGCGCCGGGCAAGTTACGCCACCATTTGCGGATGGATTGTAGATGGACTGTGTCTGCTGGCTCTGTTGTTCAAGCTTTCGCAAAAGCCGGCATTATTTCTGAGGAGCTGCGCTGCACGGAAATGGACTCTTGACAGCGAAGAAGGGGAAACTGGCATGTCTGATTTAGCGCAGCTGTTTTATTAAGAGGAATGCTGAGGATAACAGAGGATGATGACTTTGATGGGTTTGATTAATACTTTGTAATAAATACATGAATAAAGCACAATCATACTCAGGTTTGCTTCCGCTCTATTTTTCTACCTGAAAACTTAATTCAACAGCAGCCTCTGGGCGCGTCTCCTCCTCTTCAGCGCGGTGGCTGGCAGGTGTTTTTTCATCTAAATAATCTAAATCTTGCAGCTATATTTGCTGTGATCAGTGGGAATAAAGTAGTTTTAATATGTTTTTAAGTGAGAAAGTCCACCTGAAAACTTAATAATTGCAGTCAGTTCATCCAGATTATCTATTTCTGTCGGAGGCGCTCAGACCCCCACATACCAGCGGTTCACCGACAGCAGAAATCCTTTCGTTCACCGCGGCTGCTGGCAGGTGTTTTTCATCTAAATAATTTTAGCTGCAGGCACCAGGATACCGGTAATAAAAGCGAACATATTCTGTCGGCAGGTTTCAGGATTTTAAGTTAATTTAGGAGTGATCACAGCGCTGTGTCATCTGCGATGTGTCTGTCTCACGGCCAGCTGCCAGGTTTGATTAATACTTTGTAATAAATACATGAATAAAGCACAGTCATACTCAGTGTTTCCCCCGCTGTATTTTTAAATACGCAGTAGAGGTATTTAAAGGTAGTAGAGGACATGCACCTGTATATAAAAAATGCGCCCTATAGTCCGGTGCGCCTTATGTGTGTGTTAAATACAGAAATGGGACACATAACTGAGAGTGCGCCTTTTAGTCCGGTGCGCCTTATGGTCGTGAAAATACGGTAGTTTCTTGATCTTAATTCCCTTTTCAAAGAATATTGTTGGTTTGCGTTGTTAAAAGCCTATCTTTTTCCACTGCCCTTATGTTAATCATTTACAGCTGTGGAACTGTCCATTTAGTAAGTCCCCTTTCTGCCTGTGAAACTCCACTTTATCTTGTTTTTCTTAAACAGTCCTGAATATGAACAAAGGAAGTCATTGATTTATTTCTAGAAACATCTGAGCAAAACAGAAGATTCATTAAAAACAAATCCATGCACTGACATTGCAAAAAAAACGCAACAAAAAAAGATCTCCATATGCTGTCCTTTTGAGGTGTAAAATGTAAAAATAATGAGCAGGCATGTCAAAAAGTTAAGACGGTGCTGTGGTGACACAAAAGACAAGTTTGCTTTTTCTTTATTGATCAGCGCTTCCTGTCAAATCTCTCTCAGGAAGCACCTTCTGAAATCATCATGCATCCACACCCAGTGTATCGATCAGCACAATGTCCACAATATATGAAAGCTATGTCCCATACAAAACCCGCTAATTATTGATCAGTGATGTTTTTATGAAACGCCCTCTCAGAGATTTGTGGAGGTATCTCTGCAATTTTAGGGCTCGAAGCCTTTTAGGTGACTCCCATTTCCCGAGGGCTCAAAATCAATGGCCACGCAGCTTGTTTGTGCTGTAATGGCCAGTTTAGAATACAAGCGTGACTTCTGCCCAGAAGAGAAAGGGTGTCTTGTTTGTCGGTGCATGCTTGTTCCCCGTTTCCCCTTTCTTTTTTCCATGTGTAAAGATTTTTATTTTCTTTTCACCCTGGTGTTACAAGCTGTATTTTCTTTGTTTGATCGATCTATTTGTGGCAGCTACCTTAACAGTCCCGTCGTTAGGTTTCTTTGTTAGTACACTAGTTGTAAGTTTAACAGAAGAAAGGAGAGGCGTAAAAAAAAAAAAAAATCACAATTAGCTCGAATCTGCAGAATGGTTTTGATAAGGTCACTGCTAAAAGGGTTTTACTCTATGCGCAAGTGTGTTTGTGGATCGAATCGATTGGTGGCCCTGCAAGCATTCTCAAACCTGCTCAAGGTGAGGATTAGTGAGAAACCCATCTAATCGCTTTAAGCTGTGCAGCCTAACTTTGTTTTTTCCATTGTTTTACAGCCTTTAAATGGACACAGTGTTCTGTCCACAGTGGGAGATGTTTCAGGCCACTTTTATGGCAAAAAATAAAAACAATGATCAGAGCCAGAGGAACGTTTTATGAAACAACAAAAAGATGTAGACAGAACAGATAAAAGATAGAGCAATCAGAAAATGGTATGGTTGCTATTGATAAGACCAAATTACAACTACAACTCTGATTTTTGGCAGCCAGCTTTAAAGATGAAGGACAACTTTTTTATATAAAAAATGTCCTCAATTAGGGTTCACATATTGACAAACTGCATATTGACTGATTAACTGGATGGGATATCAGAGATCAAATCCATTGCACATAGAACTCCTTTTTTTTTTTCTTTTTGCTTCATATTTGTTAATAATACTGTAAATACATTTACATCTCTGTTAATTTGTTACCTGTTTTTTTTTTATGGCAAGATAGGGTTCAATGATTTAACAGTTGAATCGGATCAGTATCGTATATCCAGCGAAAAAGCTCATCACATGCATCCGGATCGGATCGTAAAAATCTTAATTGGTGCAACTTAAGTCTATTAGAAAGTTTCCTGCCTTTGCATTGAAGAAGATTTACCAAAACAATCTTAGGGTCAACTAGATTACCTTGAAGACTGTGAAAATACATTTATCAGATATTCTTTATGTGTGTTTGCTTGGGATATTGGAACCACTCCTACCCCTTATTGGGGAAATTCAATATGTTGTGTTTTTTTAGCATGTGGGGCGTTTCCCAAGACCAATGAGTGCACAGCTTTTTAAATGGGATTTGTAGCTAAAAGAAAAACACAGCTCCCCTTTAAATTATATTATAGTAAGTAATTGCCCTGCCCCAACAATCTTAACTTCAAAACCAACCATCTTTTGAATAAAAAAACTACCACCTTTAAAGTCTTAATTATTCTTGGTCTATTTTATTTTAGGGTGTAAAAGAGTTCAATATTGTATTCAGTCCAAAATGGGGTTTTTATTCAGTGTATTTCTACCTCGCTACCTCCCTTCAATAGCAATTTACTACCGATGATACATTACAAACAGGGAAATGAAAAAAAAAATTTCTTTAACTTTAGCTGATACTTTCTATATGCTTCATATCTGCTTTAAAAAAAGGCATCTCTATCTATTTTTAAAAGTTCCCCCCTGATATTTTTTTAAACTCAATTTTAACATATTTCTGACTGCATCAGACTTCAAGGTTTCATTTTTGGTCAAATGAAAAATTATTTCCATGAGCAGACAAAAAAAAAGCTAAACTTTTGTTAAAGTAGCAGTTGTAATTATCCATCCATTTTCTGTCATGCTTTAACCCAGCAAAAAGGACAAACAACCATTCATGCACACACTTACACCTAAGGAGAATTTAGAGATTTATTAACCTAACAGTCATGGTTTTGGATTGTGGGAGGAAGCCGGAGTCCCGGAGAGAACCCACGCATGCACAGGGAGTACCCACTGTGCCACTGTCCAGCCCTCAGTTGTAATCAATACATGTTTTTGTCCATTCCATTTAGTATATTCTAAGTGGACTAATGGTATTTCTTAAAGTGGGAACCGGTACTTTCTTGTCGTAAAATATGAATTGGAGTGTCTTAACTGGCTAAGTGTCGAACTCTGCTTTTATAGTGTCCCAGATAATAACTTGTGCCCCCTCTTTGGTTTTGAGGCATACATTGCTGTAGCTGAGCAGTTGTCTCCCGGATAGAGGCTGCTGGGCACAGGATCGCTGAACCCAATAAACCTATCGATCAGGTTGCTTGGGTGAGGATGACCTGGTCCACATCCCCGACTCCAGAAGAAACCACCTCCTCCATTCTCTAAACTTCCCAAACCCATGAACAGACTCCCTCCTTCCTCTTCACTTTCTTCATCTTACTTTCTATCGGTTGCCAGGTTACCATGGAGATCTCTGGTTTCATTTTTCCTTTCTAAGTGCTTCTTTCTTTCAAGCCCTGGGTGCTCCTGGTCTTTTTCCTCTGAGTTTTAGATTTCTGTTTGTTCTGAGTTATTCCATTATAATTGATTGCAATTTATACATTTTGTTTTCAACTAGACTTAAACCAACAGAACAAGTATCTCCTTTGAGATCTTGCCTATTTCCTTATCAGTTTTACTTCATGTAACTAGTCACGCTTGTGATAAATTTCTTTAACCATTCTCAGTTTTGCTCACTTTTATTTTGGAATAACATCCTGAAAGAAAATGTGGTGCATTAAAATGTAATGGATTGTTGAGTTACATACTGAGACAAATTGATTTACTTCCCCCCCGTCCACTGCTTCTATCAATTTCACCCAATCTACTGCAGTCACACAGAGAAATCCACACTTAGCAACTGCCCCCGCTCCAAAACACTACATACACCCCCTCCACTGTCACCATGCCAGGCTCTACTGTGGTGTTTAATTGCTGTCTCAAATTAAATCAATGACTGTGAGGTATTTGTTCGGGTCAAGGCTAAAGAAAATAATTGATCCTTTCAGCTTTGTGGCAGACTCAGAACGGGAGAAGCAGGAGTGGGTCGAGGCGATCAATGAATCAATTGCGGAGACGCTCTACGACTATGAAGTGGCGGAGAAGATCTGGTTCAACCAGGCCAACAGGAGTTGTGCGGACTGTGGTGCATCCCAGCCGGAGTGGGCATCAGTAAATTTGGGTGTGGTCATCTGCAAGAAGTGTGCAGGTAAGGGTCACATCTATAAAAAAATCTTTTAAAATTGTATCTTTTATCTTTATTACTGCTACTGTAATTAAAATGGTCTCATTTAGTCTTTGTCTTTTGGAAAGGATGTTATAGATTTAAGTATGTTATTGGAGTAGGTAATATACTCAGTTGTGTAGATTGTAATCTCTTTTGCTATAATTTATATAAGCATCAGAACAAATGACTTAAAGATGCTTAACAAGCTGATAAAGAAAGTCATCTTTGTTTTGGGAACTCCTCTAGAATCTCTGTAGATGATTTTATGAGAAATAATTCTTCATCAAATGAAACCATTCATGAACATCCCTTAGCATCCTCTTGAAAAGACTGTTGAACAACATCAGATCGTCTTCAGGTAAAGGCTTCTCCAGATCTGCTGAAAGACAGACAGCCCCATTGGATGCAATAACATTTACAACAACTTATTAGTGAAAAAAAAAAAAATGTTAGAGTTACAACAACATTTGAGCTCTCCAAAGTCTACAGAAACATAGAAGGTTAAGTAGGTACAGGTTGTGCTCACTGCTCAAAGGTACATGTTAATAAAAGTGGAGCAATTGCAACATAGCAAGGTCAAAATGTTCCATTATACCCATTAGTATCACCCTCATCAGTAATTTGAGCTGATATCCCTAAATTGAAAAGTATCATAGTTTATGTTTGCATCCAAGTTATGTCATGCTTTTTATTATTATTTTTTTTTTGTATGGTTGCCCGTGTATTTTTTATGTATTTTTTTTTTTTCAAACTATCCATTTTGGGATAATGACATGTATTTTGATATTGAATTTAATCCATTAATCAAGAAATTGTAAAACTTTTTTCCCCCCTTCTTTTGCTTACAAAGTTTATGGAACCTACCTGAAGGCCACAGATAGTGACAGACTAATCTCCTCTATACCAAGCTGCATTAATGGAGTAATATATGCAAAAGGAACCCAGAACAACAATGAAAATACCGGTAAATAGAAAAACACAAATTTGTCACATTTTCCAATAAACTTTTGGATTTTTGTTAGCCGTAATAATAATGAAAAAAAAATAAAACAAAAAACATGTAGAATATAAATTTGTAAAACCTCATCTGTATGCATCTAATTTAAATTCAATTTAATTTAAATCGAATAACTGAATTTGTTGTTTTCTTATGTCAAAAATACATAATGCTGATTGAAACAATATCCTAACACATTATTACATTACAAAGTTCAGCTGAACGTATTTGAAAAATAGGCTTAATGTATCCTAAAACGGATATATTGTAGATCTAAACTGCAACGAGCATAATGCTTCTGGTAAAAAATATTGACTAAGGACTAGGAGATGGCATGCTTAGAATATCTTTAAGCTTTTAAGCATCTATTCTTTGAGCAAGTGAGAACGGGGGCCAATATCTGTATGTGATTGATCCTTCTTGTATTCGGGTAGAAGATCTAAGGTAATATGCAATGTATCAGAGATAAAATGCAACAAAGATTACATGTCTGCAAGAACTTGAGGGATACCAAACAGCTATTCATTGATTTAAGGGAATGAATGAACACATCCCTTTTTCAACGTTCACATTTCTCTCAGTCATTTCCTAATGCAATTCTTCACCTTTTTCGTTCAATTGATATGCATCTGATAGCCAACATCTCTTTCAGAAGCCCCTAAATGGTTTCATTTGCAGAGGTGTTTAATATTACATTTTGTCGACATGCTGAGAGCAAGAGGGGGAACATTTGCAGTTAAGGGAAGAAGTCCCTCTGAAATGATTCTATACTCAGTTTGGAATACCAATGCCTACTCATGCCTTTAATTAGGCCTCTTAAACTTTATCATTACGGACAAAAACTGAGGCACTAAACAAGAGCAAGAGGTAAGAAATAATGAGAGAACTAATGGGGAAAAAATGATCCATGATTGGCTTTACCCTTTTGTCTAAAGAGTGAATTTTAATGGAGTTAAACTTTGCTCTTTGATGTTAAACAGTTTCACACTGGAGTTTTTCTACGCTTCTATTTGCTATGCTGTATGAAATCTAGCTGCAAATATCAAAGCTTTCATCACAACAAAGGTACGCTTGTAATTTGGCTACAAAAGAATACCTTTTGTGTTTTTTAGATAAACTGCTTTTTCCAAAGATACAAAACAGGGTTGTTGCATTGTGCAATAGATTATACTGGGAAGAGTTAAGTTGTAAACAAGTTTTGCTTCAGCATCAGTACTAGGTGTGGCTGCCAGGGTCAGAAAAACTTTAATACTTTATTTTCAAACTCTTACACAAATTTTTATTAACACAAAACTAGGAATGGACCTGCAAATAGGGGCGGAGCTAGATGGGTGGCCAGGGGTGGCCAAGGCCACCCTTAGCCAATCATTGGCCACCCCTACCATTTTTTTTTCTCAAGCAGAATATTCAAAACATTTTAATTTTATATATATTAACAATTACTTGACAACAAAAGACTGTGGTTAATTATGCACATAAATAAACCAACATTAGAGTTGATAAGTACAGAATTCATGCTCTTTCAAAACTAGATTTTGTGTTATATGCCGTAAAGAGAAAATTATGTGTCTCTAAAAGTCATTTAAGAGTCTTCAGTGAAATCATAGATACTGTATATAACTATTTTAATAAAAACCTATAAAATTATCAATTTATGTAGATATACGTACTTGTAAATATCAATTTAATGCAGAATATTGACAAAAGTATGTAAGTAATGACGATGGAAAAGATGTTCGCTCCAGAAGTCAAACCTCAAAGAATTTCATCCAATATACCTTTTGTCTAGACGGATGTTTAAAAATATGCATCTATTTGTTAGCAAAGGCTGTAGGAAACTATAGTTTGTCTTTATTTAGATATATGGATGTTGTGTGGTTCCTGTTGGAACAGTGTAGATTAACCGTGAGGTTCTGGTGCCTACCCACTTTTAGCCACCCATCAGTATACATTGTTTATTGCCTGGCCACCCTTATAAGAATTTTCTGGCTACGCCTCTGCCTGCAAAAAACAAGGACATCAGTACTGTTTTCCAGTTAATTGCTGAGTTCGAATTTAGGGGCTGCGTCCTCCGAAGGCTAGATTCGTAGGCCGATTATCATAGAGCTGCGCTGAGAGCTGGATTGGAAGACTCCTCGTCATACGGCCGAAAAATACAGCCTTCTTTTATCTCATTTTAAAGGATGGGTCCGGTATATCCTATGTAGCCTTGGATATCCCGCGATTCATTGGGAGTCCAGGCAAGTCGGCTCCTCCATGCTCAGAGGAAAACTGTACTCCGAACAGTGGTGAATATATTAAGTGGAGTTTAATATGATACAAGTATCTCAATTGTTCTGTCTGAAATTAATAGAAATAGTTGTTTTAAATGGTTATTGAGTCAGTTATGTGGCAGGTAATGTTTGCTTTATTGAAAGGTTTTTATCCCTCCCTGTGCAAATGGATTTGGCTGACATTTAAGCACAGATTGTAATATCTCTGCAGCGTGGGGACTACAAATCTAAAACAAAGTGATATCTGTGATGACGGTGCTGCTGCTGAAGCTCCTGGATGATGTTATTAGCATCCAGAACAGAAGTGAGAAGTTCTGCATCCAGTCTTTGCCTGCCTTGTGTATCAACTGCTACGGTTGCTAGGTGACAGAGCATACGGGTGGTGAATGCCGGAGAAGGCTGGACCTGTTTGAATCCATAGCCAAAATTCTTCCGGCCTCCTTATTTTCACAGACCTAGCTAGACTGGGTCTTCCGAAGATGCAACCTTTGAAATCAAACACACCCATTGTTTGGTCCTTTAATCAAATTGGTGGATTTCTTTATGGGTCAGAGTACTAAAGCAGTTTTTACACCAGTAATTGAGAGTGTAGTTTTGGCAGTTCAGACAGCTGTCATCTTTCTGCAATGACAACAAATCTGCTGGGAAACCTACAGATTCATGTAAAGGGGGAAATGTAAAGAGCTCCCTGGCTCTATATTGGTAAAAAAAAAAAGAAGCCAACATCAGTAACCATGAAGACAATGGTGTGAAAAGGCAGACTTGAAGACCTCATAGAGTGTCTGGGAGGCGCCCAGTACATTACCACGCTGGACCTTAGCAAGGGGTACTGGCAGGTGCCCCTGGCAAAAGAAGCAAGACCCTACATCGCCTTCAGGACACCCCAGGGCCTCTGTCAATTCACGGTGATGCCCTTCGGCCTGCAGGGGGCGCCTGCAACGTTCCAGCGCCTAATGGACCGGGTGCTGGACGGCACCGGCGCCTTCGCAGGTGCTTATCTTGATGACATCATCATCTACAGCAGCAGTTGGGCGGAGCATGTGCAGCACCTGGCCGAGGTGTTGCGCCGCATTCACCAAGCGGGGTTGACCATCCAGCCCAACAAGTGTGCCTTTGTTCAGCAAGAGGTGCGCTACCTGGGGCACATTGTTGGACGCGGAGTCATCAAGCCTCAACAAGACAAGCTCCAGGCAATCCGGGACTGCCCGCGGCCAGAGACCAAGAAGGGGGTCCGCTCTTTCTTGGGGCTCGCAGGGTGGTACCGGAGATTCGTCCCCAACTTTGCCACCAGAGCAGCCCCTCTCACCAATCTCACCAGGAAGGCTGGCTCAGTCCGAGTCAGGTGGGAGGACCAGCATGAAACGGCCTTCAACGACCTGAAGAAGGCCCTCTGCAGCGGGCCAGTACTGCAGAGTCCAGACTTCAAGCAGCCGATGACCGTCCAGACTGACGCCTCCGGTGTTGGTCTGGGGGCCGTGCTCCTTCAAGGTGAAGGAGATCAGCAGAGACCTGTGGCATACATAAGCCGCAAACTTTTTCCAAGAGAGACAAGGTACTCTGCTGTTGAGTTGGAGTGCCTTGCTGTGAAATGGGCCCTTGACTCCTTTCGTTACTATCTCTTGGGTCGACAGTTTGTTTTAGAGACTGACCACCGGGCCTTGAAGTGGCTCGGGCAGATGAAAGACACAAATACCCGCATTACCCGTTAGTTT